AAACCAGTATTTGAACACATAGAGGAGAAATCCTCACAAACGCAATCACTCTCCACTAGAATGTGCCTGGGTTCACACTGGTCACATCGCAGCCCCGTGGCCCCTGGCCTGCAGACACACTGCCCGGAGACGCCATCACAGGAACTGTGCGCTGAGCCATGCGGACTGCATTCACACTTCCGGCAGCTGCCCCCCGGGGCTCGCGGGTTCCCGTGATAGCCCGAGGAACACCTACAGAAAGCAAGATACTTAGGTTGACAAGGTATCATCACCAACAGTCAGAAAACACATAAACGACCCTTTGCCCAAGGACGGTCATCATTTCTGTAGAAATGACATGCAAAGAGAGGAAGTTCGTTTGCCTCATTCGGCGCTTTATCTCCTATAAGGGGAAGAAAAGGTGACGGAAAGGGCATTTACTATCTTAACCCATGGGAGAACTTGTTCTGGAATAGTACTAAGGTCCCCAAACCATCATGCACATCCAAACTGAGAGTGATTCCCAACTCACTTTAGTAAACATACCCAGTACACGATTTAAAAAGCAGGAGCAGATGTGACTAGCCATTTCCACGTGATAACTCAACAGCATACCTCTCACAATATTGCCCTTCGTAGCCTGGAAAACAGCCATCACAACGGAAATCATGATCCCCTTCCAGGATACAGGTGGGACTAAAGCTGGTGGAAAAGAGGTTTTGTTTTTTTTTGTAATTTTCAGATAGACAACCTCAAATCTTTCTTAAAGTAGATTCATTACTATCAGGATACATGATACTGTCCTCAACGTTAATTACACTGGGCAATCAGACAAGATTCTTAGGGCTTACAATCTACTAAGCAAAAAGAAGGAAAATAGGTATATGACAGCATAAGTGTGTGCATATCTTGTATCCAAAGGCATTCAGTAGACACCTGGCTAATAACAATCACGTGAGTGCCAAGTGACGGAAGAGTGACTGATGAGTCACCAAACAAGAAGCTTTCCAGGTAAAAAGGATCTCGTTCTGAGACTTCAGTGAAGAGTTACGTGGCTTACTAGGTGGTAAGGTGATAAGAGAGAGTTGTAAATGACGGAACGGCACAAGAAGAGAGCTGAACAAACCCTGATCTGTATACCTGATCAGACCGTAATGAAGGGCAAGGAAGACAAATAGGAAAGAAACGCAGTGAGTTAGGGTGGAATGTGCAAATAAATGGATCCAAAGATACAAAGTCATTTGGTGGCCATCACAAGCGAAATGGCAGCACCACTCAGTCTGATCGTCTACCCAGACGCTGATCTCCATGTTCGTGGGTGGCACTTTTGGTTCATTCCTTTGTTTTTTCTTTCCCCAACAGCCTTGGCCTCCACATTTTAAATTACTAATGCACCACCTAGAGGCCAAGCTGGGTACCTGCAAACTATTTAAAAAAAACCAAAACACTAGAGTAGCTGGTCCCTTCCTGGTAAGGCAGATGAAGTTTCCAGCCACGAGTTACAGGGCTCACCATCAGCCCCTCACCACTTCTGACTTTCTCTCCTTCTTAGAGAGCGAAGGGACACACTTCAGTGAAAACACAAAATAAACAAAGCTCATCTTTTAAGGCCTCCCAGACCCACAGCGTACATACGTTCTCAGCCTCCCTATCTCTCCTTAAGAGCCTAACTTTTAACTTATTAACATGGGTTTTTGAGGAGTTATAACCTTTTTATTGAAGAAGTGAAATATTCCAACGCACAGAGAAGTGTAAAATAGAAAGGTGAAATATCCAAGTTTTTCTCTGAACATAGTATAGCTACAGCTATGCATATATAGACATACATACACATTTTTCCAAAATAACATCACACTATAAATTCAATTGTGTAATTCAACGGGCTAGTTCGGCAATCCTGTACATACAGATATATCTTGTCCTTTTCTCAGTGTTTGCACAATATTTCACTCCGGGAATGGAACACAATGCATTTAATCAATCCCTGTAGGTAGATATTCCCATTTTCCTCACTAATTTCTCATGATGACAAGCGATCCTAAAATACACCCATCTTCACACACATGCATCTGTTTCTATAACACAGATTACAGACTTGGAACTGATGAGTCAAAATTTATACACAGATTTAATACAAAATATTAAGTGATGCTTAGGAAGCTTGATAGTTTACAAGGGAAATTTACATGGAGGGTCTCATCTGATTCCATCAAGCACCGCTTAGTTGGAGATAGTAAAAGACAGAATATTCAAACAAATATTAAAATGAAAACTTAATTTCCATATACTAAAGGGTAGCATTGGCTCTATATATGTTCCATACCTTGTCACATATTCTAAGTAATAATAAAACGTTATCTACGAATTACAATTTGTATTTAAACCAAAGAGGACTGATAGATATTCCAATTCCCACTTCAGTTCTCTAGTTCTTTTTCACGATCAGATGATTCTGCACAAGCATCATGAGTGCAAGATAGAACCTAGCTCGAGTTTATCACTCTGCAGCGTTTCAGTACTTAATCAGTCATCAGCAAACATACATTTGAACCATTTCCTTAAATTAAACAGAAGCTGAATGATTTCATATCATGATTCATAAAATTAATAACAATTCATCTGTATGCACACTGGATACATAGTTAGAGGGCTAAAATTAACCTTAAAAAAATAAAACTTGAAAGTCCTTTCTTTAATTGGTTCTATTCTAACACCCAATACCAACCCAGAAGATTTACTTTTGAAGACACTCTTCA